GCTGCGCTCTGGAGGCCTGGAACCACACACCTGTGACTGTCAGGCTGTGCTCAGAAGAGCTGGAACCACACACCTGTGACTATGAAGCTGTGCCCTAGAGGCCTGGAACCACACAGCCCTTCTGGCTGAGCAGGCCTTGTCAGCTTGCTGAGGGAAGGACCAAGATTTTCTCATAAACTGTGAAGAGCCAGAAGCTCTGACAAAATGAAGGAGTAAAATACTGCAGAAATGTGAAATCACCACAGAGGCTGGAAATATTTCCTCTACCTTCTGGGCTCATTCCCCAGGGAAGAACATCCCCTGAGTGGCTCTACCCAGAGCTGCTGTCAACAGAACTTTCTCCAAGTGTAAGACAGGGAACATCTCAGGGTGCTGGGCACATCCTAGACAGGTAACAGCCCTGGGTCACAGATCCTAGTTTCAGGGCCTGGGGCTAGCCTGCCCCTCCCCATAGGCTGTGAAGACCCAGAAAGTGGCTGTGGTAAGCCTCAAGGCCACTTCATTTGCTGTGGAGTCAATGTCATGTGGCTGCACCTGCCATGGCTTTCCTAGATGGGTAAAGCCAAACCTCAACTTCAATTTCTATCCACACCACGTGAGAAAAGAAAAGCAGGAAAGCAGCTACAAACCGAACTCGAGAAAAGCATAGGGCCGGGAGGCGAGGCCGAGGCAGGCGCTGTCATGCGACGCTATGAAGTCCCACCACAGGGCCTCCAGGAAGCAGAAGGCCATGGCTGCTGGGCACTGACGTGAGCAGATGGCCATGCAGGCCACATCCCCCGACGACAGGGAACTGGAAGAGAAAGCGACGTCTGAGCTGCCAGGAAGCAGACCACGCATCCCGGCTCTTCCTTGTTATTCATGCGTCTATTTCCTTTGCTTTAAAGACAAGTCTGTGTAGCCCAGGCTGGCCTTTCACTGACGACCCTCCTGGCTCAGCCTCCTGAGTGCTAGGGTTATAGGCACAGACTCGGCACACACGTGCACATACAGCCAAAACACTCACACACAAACAGCAATTTTAAATTTAAATTAATGTTTTTAAAGGAAAGACTAAGGCTGAAAGCTGGCTCAGCAAATAACGGTGCTTGCTGCCAAGGCTGATGCCCCACGTTAAACCCCCAGAATGCACACTGAAAGGCCGGATGTGGTAAGTGCACATGCAACCCAAGGACGCCTCGGGCAAAATGGGAGATGAGACAGAAGGGCGTGCTCAGACTCACAGGCTAGCTATGCGGACACACAGTCGGCAGAAACAAGTGGAAGTCCCTGACCTCAGCAGGGCGGGAAGACAGAACCAGGTCCCAGAAGTTAAGGTCAGCCCCCCCACGCATGCTCTGCCACTGGAATGGCCACGTAGGTGTGTACACATTCCTAGCGCGCACAGGCACTGGGGGTCTAGCCCTGGCACCATAGAAACACGCAGAACAAGAAAAATCAACAGTGTCTTATAGTCCTGTTTTTAAGAGTGGTTGTGATGTCACAGATTTCTTCCAGGAAAAGGGTGTCCTGCACAGACCAGATTCTCGGAGGCCGGTGTAGGAAGTGAGCTGAGGAGGTGGGATCAGCACCTCAGAGAGGGTGCCTGCTCCTCAAGGAGGTAGCTCAGGACCCCAGCCACCACCCTGCTGCTTGGCAGCACCCTTCGGCCCTCTGCCCAGCACGGTTCACCAGTTCCTTACGCTTTTATGATTCTGAGACCAAGGAGCCCTACAAGGACCCCCACTTCTCTGGCCAGTTATATTACAAAAAGGAAACGAGGGACTGGTGAATGCCACAGCTATTTAAGAGTCTGCCTTGGCCCTGAGGGCTTCTTGCTTCAAGTCTCAACACAAGAGAGGACTGAGCGCAGGAGCGGCAGACCTGGGGCCCAACTGGCTGCCCTCAAATCCTGGCTCTGCTGCTCACCACCCAGAGCCTCGGTTAAGCAGCCTGACCTCAATTCCTTCTGTAAAACACGTGCCCCTGCCATGTGCCCCATAAGCCACTGGAAGCACAGGAAAGCCATCAGGGTACACAGGCCTCACGGCCTCTAGCACCCACACTCTCCCTGTGGCACTCCCTGTTCAGTAATCAATAATCTGTTTCTCACTTACATTCTCTGCCCTCACCCATTTTCCTTCCCCTGTTCTGGCGTGGAAATGGAAAAACTGGGCTGGGGGTGGAGCTCAGTTGGTAGAGTGCTTGCATAAGCCAGGTGTGATGGCTCATGCTGGCAATCCCAGCACCAGGGAGGCAGAGGCAGGAGCATCACAAGTTCTAGACCAATCTCGGCTACAGTCTGAGAACCTGGCTTTGGGAACCTTGTATCGGGGCTGGTCCCACTCTCTCCTTTCCATTCCCTGGCATTTTAATAGTTCCCACTCTTCTTCCTTCCACTGCACCTAAGTGAAAAATCAAATGACTGAGAGGTGCCCCCGGGGACCCCCACATTCCCGGGTGCTCTACTGGCAGTGTGGATGGGGCCCTGAAGATGGGCAGCCGCTCGCTCCGTAGGCTGCCGTAAGTGCACACAACTGTGGCTGCTGAGAGCAAACCGCCTGTCACCCAGAAGCCGTTAGCAGTGCCACCTCACACCCTGGAAAGGTCTTCACTTACTACACATGGAAGTCACGACCAGCTGCAGAGCCTCGGCCTGGGTGCTGGGCCAGCCTCGGGGCTAAGGTCTTGAGCTGCCTCCTGCATTCCAGAAACTCCTGGGCGTGGTAGAAGTCAGTGGAGGCTGACAGGGGCAGTCCGTCTCTCACCCGTACTATGCTGGCGAAAAGGATCATGGACATGGTCCGAGTGAGGTCATGAAGACGCCTGAGGAAGCAAGGTGGCCTTGTGAGTGAGGCCGGTGACAGTGCCCAAGACCCATCCTTAAAAACGCAAATTACGTCCCCCATGTCACTCCCAACTCTGTACGCCCTTTTCTTCCCTCTTTGATTCGTAACCTTCCTTCTTGCTACTGAAGACTCCCTTCTGAGAAGTAAGCCAACTGGGACGGAGGAGGCGGGCAAGCAGGGCTAGCAGCAGCATTGGCAGCAGGCTGCAGAGTTCAGGGCCCTAAAGGGACAGGAAGTGGCCGGCACAGAGGAGGGGAAGGAGTACTAAGCAATTCAAACTCCACACGGGGAAGTGGAGGGGCACGGGGGAGCCTGGCCCGCAGTGTGGGACAGCGAGAGGCAGAAGGCGGCTGAGCAGAGAGCACATCCTCCACAATTTCTGCTATCTGATACAAAGCCAGTCTTCGAGATGATGATGGAGCCCCCACAGATGGCTGGAGGGAGTCAGCAAATCACATCATGGTGAGAGAGTAAACATTTGATCACACTGTGCGAACCCATGAAGAAACAAAAGGAAATTGATCTGGGCCTTGTGCTGCCTTTGGCAAATTAGGAAAAGGTACCTCTCAGGATGGAAGGAAACCTGTTAGCACGGCCAGAGCCACAGGGTTGGTCTATCTGCCACTGCACATCTGTGCGGGACACAGCGTGCACATCTGTGTAGGAGTCAGTCCCACACCCAGGTTGCCTAGGTGGCCAAACAGCTTTGCCTGGTCTCCCCATGCTACACGGCCCCCTTTGGGGTCCCTGTGCTGGGCCAGGCCAGTCAGCAGAGGGCGCTACAGGCTCTACAGCCCTCCCCCGCCAGTGACATGACTGCCACCCCTCCCCAGGAAGAAGTGCACCAACAGCCTGGAGGTCACAGCACCACCTGCCCACTTTTGTGTCTGCAATCCTGATTTTTAAAAACATTTGGGAGAAGTCCTGACTCAGCGGAAGAACACAAGATCAGCTTGAGAACAGAACAGGCCTGAGGTTCAAAACACTAACTCCAAACACGGGCCTCACGAGGTCAGTGCGGCCTCACATGGCACAAGCAAAGAAAATGAGAAAGACAATGAATCAAAATATGCCAGAAGCCGGGAGGTGGTGGTGCACGCTTTAATCCCAGCACTTGGGAGGCAGAGGCAGACAGATCTCTGAGTTCAGGGCTAGTCTGGTCTACAGAGTGAGTTCCAGGACAGCCCAGGCTACACAGAGAAACCCTGTCTTTAAAAAAAAACACATACATACATAATACATATACCTATATATCTATGTTTACATATATATGTCTCTATATAGATATAAAAATAGATATATAGATATACATACATACATATATATACACAAGAGCGTTAAGACAAGCCCAAGCATCCCAGTGTAGACACTTCCCATATGTTAATTGCCCGCCAAGCCTGCAGGGAGGAAATGGTGTTTCTGTGTTTCCGAGTGACAGTATCCCTGAGAACCAGTTTGGCCACTCTCAGGAGGATCCTGAGGTCTTTAGCTTCACCCTAAGACGTTTACTAACCAAACCTGTTTTTCCTCAATAAGGTAAACAAAAGTTCCAGCTGCTCCCAGCTCTGCTCAGCTGCGTGAGAGCTGCCAGGAGGGAAGCCTTAAGGTCCTTCCTGTGATTTGTGAACAAAGGCGGCATGATGAATCCACCATGTCTGAGGGGCTGAGGGATCAGACCCAGCCGAGGAAGAATTTTTAAAATATCTGTTTATTTTATATGAATGATCTGTTGTCATACACAGCAGAAGAGGGTCCCATTACGATGCCTGTGACGCGCCACGTGGGTGCTGGGAATTGAACTCAGGTCCTCTGGAAGAGCAGCCAGCGCTCTAACCACTGAGCTCTCTCGCCAGGCCTGAGGTAGAATTTTGAAGACACTATCTCCCGTCAGTAACAGGCACGCTGGGGTGGGATGTTGCAGCTCAGTGGCTGAACACCACTGAGGATGCGCAAGGCCCTCGGTGCTGAAGCAACTACAGTCCCAGAAGACTCAGAAGAGTTTATAACAAGGGAAGGGCTGACCTTCGTGGGGTTATGTTTCTCAACGTGGGGCCATGAGCTATCGCAAGACAATCTGTACTTGAGTAAAACGGCATGCCTAGCCCCGTGTGCTGGCGCATAACTGTCATCCCAGCACTCGGGAAGGGAGAGACAGAAGATCTCTGTGAGTTCAAGGCCAGCCCGGTCTACAATGGGACTCCAGGACAGCCAAGGCTACACAGAGAAACCCTGTCTCAAAAAACCAAAAACCAAAACCCTAAAACCACACACACCAAAAACGGAAGTGTGTGTGTCAAGCCTAGGAATCCTGCTGTCCCCCCCAGAGACTGAGAGGAGGATCTCGAGTTCTGAGCCAGCTTGGGCTACATATGAGACCCTGCCTCCAAAACCCTGGAAGTGCAAGGTAGCAGTTTTCCAGCCCTACTAACTGCAAATAAAACCCTGCACCTCAGTTACAGAACAATTGTGAAGAGGTTCTAAAAGAAGGCAGGAGGCAGATGGAAGCTCACAGGACCCTCTATGTCACACGCTCGAGACCGAGCGGGGGGAGAAGTAGCAACTCTGAGGAGCCAATGGCGACAGGGCTGGAGGAGCACAAGCCTGTCACTACAACAGAACCTGCCTACTGTACGCAGGATCAGGAGCGGGCAGCCTCAAAAGCCAGAAAAGCTTCACATTAAAAAGCTGACTGGGGTTGGAGAGATGGCTGAGTGGCTAAGAGCCCTGGCTTGCACTTACAGAGGACCCAGGTTCAATTCCCAGCACCCACATGGTGGCTCACAACCGTCTGCATCTCCAGCTCCATGTGGCCTAAGCCTTCTTCCAGCTCCAGTACTGCCCTCATGTGCACATACCTACACACACACACACACACACACACACACACACACACACACACTTAAAAACAGATCTAAAATTAGAAGAATGGAGGGGTCCTTATGTGTTTGCACACACCTTTAAAAGCCAGCTCTTGAGAGGCCAAGGCAAGTAGAACTACAAGGTGAACTGGAGAGAGGCCTGCTCTACGAAGTGGTCTAGGGAAGCCAGGAGAACCCTGTCTCAAATTAAACAGAAAAACTGAAGCACTCTGTTGACCGAGAAAGCTGGAATCAAAGGTCACATACTGGGCTGGATGTCAGTGAGGAGCTGAAGCGTGGGTGCGGGGCCTCAGGTCTGAGCCTCAGAACCGCCAACATCATCATCAGAGAGAGGAAAACCGGGAGCCGCACACTGTACGAACACCTCTGTGTAACGTTCTCAAGACCAGCCGAGCTCTGCAGCGAGGCCTCGTCTCAAAACTGAAGAGCTGGGGTGCCAGGCAGAGTCAGAGCACTGGCCTGGCATACAAGCCTCGGTTCAATCCCTAGGACTATAAAATAGATTAAAAAAAAAAAAAAAGTGAAGGGTCCCTGGTATTTCTCTGGGCATTATCTTTGCAAATTCCTGTGACTGTATTTCAAAAACTGAAAGAAAAAAGAGAAAGGAGTTAGCATCAAGTCTCCGTGATGGCTGTTAGCATCAAGTCTCCATGAGGGCTGTTTGCTTACAAAGCCATGTTTAACCATGGCCACATCAGGACAGCCCAGTCCATTAGCTGTGGTTCTGAGTGTGCGGGAGCCAAGGGACGCCTTCCTCCCCGGGAGCTCCACACCCACAGGGCATCCTAAACCTGGAAGATACTACGATAATGGTCAGGGTTCCTTACAAAGCTGCCTGGGAGACAGCTAACAATCAATTGTGTTAAACTTGAGCCAAAAGACACCTGCCATCCTAGTGCTGGAGTCTGAGGCAGCGCACGTTCAGGGCTGTCCTGGGTTCTGTGACGAAGCCCTGACACATCAAACAGAATAAACCTGCTTCTGTCAGCCCGGCCCCCGAGGGTCAAACCCCAGGACCCAAACGGTAGAAAGTGGGATCTGACCCCTGGAATGTGTCCGGATTTCCACCAATGTGTCATTGTACAGGTATACGCACACACACTTAAAAATACGCATTTTAGCTGGGCGGTGGTGGTACATGGACCAGAGTGGGTTCCAGGACAGCCAGAGCTACACAGAGAAACCCTGCCTCAAGACAGATACACAAACATATCTAAAAAGAACCGCTGAGCAGATGGATGAGGAACTACAAGTTATCTTATGTTGTCCACTGACACAGGAAATGAAGGTCTGCCATACTTCTGAACCACACTCTGAAGATTCTCACACAATAACCAGAGAGAGTACAGGGAGGCTTCTATGGGCGACATTCTGTGCAAGGAGAAGCACGGGTGACGACCGCCATGTCCATGCTCGTGTTTTATGCAACACATCTTTTCTGTTGTAGTTTCACTTTTGTTTGTTTTGTGTTTGTTTAAGACAGGGTTTCTCTGTGCAGCTCTGGCTGCCCTGGAAACGCACTGTGTAGACCAGGCTGGCCTTGAGCTCACAGAGGTCCATCTGCCTCTGCCTCCTAAGTGCCGATATTAATGGTGTGCACCCCCACTGCCACCACCCCCCCACTGCCACCCCCCACTGCCACCCCCACACCCACCATCACCACCATCACCACCATCACCACCACCCCCATCACCCCCATCACCACCATCACCACCATCACCCCCATCACCCCCATCACCCCCATCACCCCCATCACCACCATCACCACCACCCCCATCACCACCATCACCACCATCACCACCATCACCACCATCACCACCATCACCCCCATCACCCCCACTGCCACCACCACCCCCACTGCCACCACCAACGCCGCTGCATCAGCTCCTGCCTCGGGTTCCAGCCCTGCTGACGTCCTGCCCTGACGTCCTCCAACGATGGACTATGATCTGGAAGTGTACGCCGCCGCCAAAGAAACCCTTTCTTCCCCAAGCTGCTTTTTGTTCCCGGTGTTTCGCTGCAGCAATAGAAACCCTAACTAATGGGGTAGAGGAGGACAGAGAAGCTGAACCGGATAGGACGTGACTAACATCACAGCCATCCCTCTGCACTTGACCTCAGCCAAAAGGCTGACAAGCAATTCAACTGCCCTCTGTATTTGTGGGTACTGCAGCTGCAGATTCAAGCAACCCCAGATGGAAAATACTAAAAAAACCAAAAGCAAACCTGTATCGGCAGCTGAACGCAGTTTCCCAGACAGTAGCATGTAGCAGCCACATACACAGCACTGCACAGATGTTCTAATTAACTCGGGCATTGTCCGAGGCACACAGAAAAATGTGCACACTGCCCACAGACACAGCGCCATTGTGTGCAATGGCTGAGCCCAAGCCCCCAAGCACGCAGAGGGACTGGACCTTCATACGGATGACACTATTAAGTGCAGAGAGCTTCCCTCCACCCACTACTCAGGGATTAGCAGGGAGAAGCAGGCTTCAATCTCAGACTTCATATTCTTTCCATGGCATTCCCACCTCTGAACTGAAGCTTTGGGCTCACAGCTACGGTCTCTCTAAAGCGTCCTTCTCCAGACCAGTCCTGCTGACAGCTAACTGGAGGCTGGTGTGAGACTCAAGCCTGTAATCCCAGCACCCATGAGCTTGGGCTACAGCGAGACTGTTTAAGACAGAAAAATCTCTAATCAGACATTTGCTAGTAAGAGGAAGGGCCCAAGGTTACACCTGTTACAACTGCCCCTTAAGAAGCAGAGTGGTGCACGCTGTAAATCCCAGCACTCGGGAGGCAGAGGCAGGCAGATCTGTGGGTTTGAGGCCAGCCTGGTCTACAAATCGAGTCCAGGACAGCCAGGTCTCTTGCTACACAGAGAAACCCTGTCTCGAAAAACAAACAAAAAGCAGAGTATGGTGGCTCATGCTCCTAATACCAGCACTTGAGGGAGCATAGGCAGGAAGATCTCGAGTTCAAGGTCACCCCCAGCTAGGTGGCATGTTCAAGACCAGTTTAGGCTACCTGACAGCCTGTCTAAAGAGAACAAAGGGGGTGGGTGAGCATCTTGGTGGAACTCAGTCACCTGCAATCCCGGTACTTGGGAGGAAGAGAAAGGCAGATGTCAGGGTCAGCCTGGTCTATACAGTAAGTTTCTGACAGTCTGGGCTATGGCGAGACCTTGTCTCTAAAATGAAATAAACCACTTCTCTTTGCTGTGTAGTCTAAAGTGAGCTGCCCTGTCCGACCACGCACCACCTCTATCACCCGGCTTGATCTGAAACACTGTGGGACCTCAAGATGTCCACAAAACATGTAACTGGTTCTTCCCCAGAAAGCCACCATACGACTGAATCCTGCATGCCAGTGAGACCACTTAGAGCTGCCCGGCTTTCACGTCCCTAACAGACGCTTTACCCAATAAACTCTCTGCGAAGACTTCTACAGACATTTGCCCTACCCGTTGGTCTGCGCTGCTGTTGCTTTCGTTTTTCTGCTCTTGTCGCTAGCCACACCAACTGAGTTGGGCATGCAGGCCACCACGCACCTGATCCCAGAACCTGGGGGGCGTGGGCAGAAGGACCCCACGCTCAAGACCAAACTCGGGTTATACGGACCCGTGTCTCACAAAACCACAAACTGTACCAACTCCTTTCCTCAGCGGCGACACCCTTCCTCCCGTGGCTTTGACTTTTGGCAAGCCCGACGCCCGCCCTGCTCTGTAGGTTCTTTGTCCCGGGTTACCCAAGTCCAGAAAAGTTGGAGCAGGGCTGACTAGGCCTTGAAGAAACCTGCTGCAAGACCAGCAGGCTACGGAGAGTTCGCTCTCCCAAGGAAAGAAGCAGCCGCCAGGACTAGAGCTCAGCTTACTGAAGGGACCCACCGCCCCGCCTCTCCCGAGACACGCCCCGGGCCCGCCCCGGGCAGCGGGCGCAGCGGCAGCATCCCCGCGGGGACCCGGCGCGCAGGGTCTCGGCCTCGGCGGAGTCCCACGGCCCGAGCTCCCCGGTGGCCCGGGCCGCGCCCGCGCCTCTCCACGCCCGCCTGGCCCGCCAGCCTCACCTCGCCCCGCGGCCGACCTCCGCCTCGGCCCCCGCAGCCCACCCGGCGGCGGGGTGCAGGTCACCCGCGGCCGGGCTGCAGGAGGTAGGATGCGGTGCGCGTGCGCACGCCCTGAGCGCCCATTCGCTGCTGCTAAGCGACGCTCACACCCAAACCGACCAATCCTGGGGCGTCTCTGCGGTCCGGTTGCCCACACTCGGGAACGGCGAGAGCCTCAGAGGCCCCCTCCCGCTGCGTCCCACCGCCCTAGTCTCGCCCGCTGGGCTGAAGGCCCACGCGGGTCTCACCCCGAGAGGTGCGAAGAGGCTTCGGTGTCCCCTGGATGCCGGGCCAGCAGCGGACAGGGCTGTTCTCCGAGGCGCCCAGGCCCCGAGTGACACTCCTTGGGCGTGGGTTCTTGCAGGCTACGCAGCTGGACAGGAGGCCCGAGATAGAGGATCCGAAGAGCACAGCCTCTTGCCAGCCTGGAGGAGGTGCCAAAGTCCGACCCCGGAGCGACACACCCTCGCGGTTAGGTTAGGAGCAGATCTGGTAGCAAAGTCAGGTCCTTACTGTTGTGACAAGTGCTGAGCACCGCTGTGGGCCGCTCAGTGTGAATACGGCGAGGAACTCCTGACTCGAGAAACCAAGTCAAGAGGAGGGTAGAGTCAAAGCACCAGGCAGGAAAGCGGGTGTCTAAACACGAGTCGAGCTTTAGAGAAGCATGGGTTATAAAGAGAATTTAAAGGAGCATTTGGCTTGGACTATGGGTTCAGGGAATGCGTCCCCCAGTCGCCGCCCATCCGGCAAAGGAGAGTTGGTGTGTTTCAGACATTCCTGTGCAGAGCACTCCGTGGGGCTGAGGAAGTAGCTCTGTTGACAGAAAGCAGGGATAGGCCCAGTCCCCTCCCCATGGGACAGAACTTCAAGCTCTGCAGCCTTCTGAACTCGGAACTTGTATCGGTGACTCCCCACGCCCTGGATCTCAGGACCTCAGCTTCTCACTGAGGTTACACCAGCTTCGCTGATGCTTCAGTTTTAGATTTTGAGACGGGGGTCTTATGTACCCCAAGCTGACCTTGAACTCGCTGTGTAGCAGACTGTGACTCTCAAGCTGATCCTCCTGCCTCCACTTCCTGGGTGCTGGGGTTACCGATGTGTGCCTCCATGACCAGTTTATGTGGGGCTGGAGCTCGGCCCACGGTTTTCTGCCTGCTAGACCAGAGCTCGACCCACTAAGCCACCTGCCCGGTCCCAGTCAGTGTTCCGGATTCTGAGGCCAGGTGCCAGTCAGTGACGCCGAGAACTGGCTCCCTTGGTGCCCCAGCGTGTGGTCTCTCAACCTCTGTGAGCACATTCTCCTAATCCGACTTTACCATGTAGGCAGAGATAGCCTATTAGCTCTGTCTCCGTGGAGGAGCCTCCTACAGGCGCCAGCATGCCAGCTGGACACACAGGTTGTGTCCCATGGAGAGACCTGAGCCGGGTGAAGACTTCTGAGCGGCATTTCTTTTGTGGGTGGAAATGGAGGCAGGCTTATGTAACCACAGACATTATGAAATTAACAAAGGAAGGCTTGTAGTAGTCTGTGATAGCCTTTGGGCATTACTGTGTCCTGGCATTCAAGTCTTGCCACAGTCCCCTCCCACACTGAGTCGGGGCAGGTCTGTAACAAGCCTCCACAAGGCTAGGTTATAACATTCACAAAGGAGAAAAACTGGTAGACAGTGGAGACTGACAGTCCTGTCCCCTAGGTGCCCTGTCTAGGTAGAGGAAACATAGACCTATAACATTCTGGGTTGAGGCAGCGTCGTGCCTCGCACCTGTATTCTCAGCCTTCAGGAAGCATCTGCAGGAGCACTGTCATGAATTTGAGGCCAGCCTGCGTGAAATCGTGAATTCTAGGCCAGCTTGACTACAGTTTGAGACCCTATTTTAAACAAATCAGTAAGGCTAGAGAATGGCTCGGAGATTTAGAGTGCTCGTTACTCTTGCAGAGGACCTGGATTGACTCCCTGGGTTCACACAGTGGCTCTCAACTATCTGTAACTCCAGGAGGGTTTGACAGCCTCTCCTGACATCCACAGACATCAGACAGACACGAGCTGCAATGCAGTTCTGCAGATGAACCATTCATACACATAAATAATTCTAAAATAAATGTTTAAAAGAACAAAAGTAGAAAACTCCAGGTTGGGGCGTGGCTCCTGTGGTAGCATGTTTATGAAGTGTGCATGCATGAAGCCATGGCCTCTGTCCCCGGCACCATAGCCATATCTGTAGTCCCAGCAACTCAGACATACAGACAGGAGAATTAAAAGTGCAAGAACATCCTTTGTGAGACACTCTCTTAAAATGGAAGTAAACCAACAAAATAAGGTCTTCTCACGTGTGGTGGAGCCTTGGAATGTTAGTGTTTGGGATGTGATTTAGACGGAATGTTCCTTCAGCTTCTACCTGGCACACCTGATGAGTCTCAGGCACTACTGTAGAATGCAATGGGAAATGGGTGAGTGTGCCACACCTGCAGTCACTGGCCACTCATGACCACTGTCACCTTCAGAGGCTTTCCATGCCAAGCCTCTTCAGCTCTCCACCCCCATAATCTCCACAGACATATTCCTGTTAAAATCATTCCTCCACTCTGAGGGCAGAGTGGTACGAAGCAGTCTCCAGCTGCTCTTCATGGCTCCGCTTCTGCCCATCCTGTCCTCTATAGAATCTCTGGGAGAGTCCTGTCGTGGAGGCCTGATGCGGGAACTTGAGAAGCAAGGAGCTCTGAGTCCTGACTCCACTCAGGCAAGTCATCCCAAATTCTCTTATTGGATCCCCATGCTGGGAAATGAGGAAGCTGCTGCTTTATAAGCCTGAAAGGGGCAGGCATACCTGCTGCAGGGCAGGGGGTGGGGGAGACCAAAAAACTCCAGGGAGTCCTCAGGGTTCCCCCTTAAATGAAGTTCTAAAGCCACATTGCCCTGGCTTAGAGTCTGACGGTCATCGTTGGCCAAGAGGACTCGGGAAAACGCATCAATGGAGAAAATAGTACTTTATATGGGTGTCAACAAACAATGCGATTTCATAACAATTTTTTACTCATGTGTGTTCAATCTCCTGGAGCTGAAATTACAGGTTTATGTTTATGTAGGGCTGGGATCCAGTCCTCTGCAAGAGCAGGCACGGTTCTTGACCACTAGAGCCCCTGGTATGCATTTTCTTACTCCCCAGAGAGAATCTAGGCCCATTCAAGTACCTTGAGGATAAGAGAAAAGCTAATATTAGTGCTTTCCGGTTTGATCTGGCTGGAGGCAACGCCCTCAGTTCCCATTGCACTGGGAATTAGAGCGCTTGGGGACAGGGAATTAGAAGGCTTGGGGACAGGGACCTAGGCTGACGGAGGGGACGCGAAGCCCTTGGCCATCAATCATCAGCCAAGTCCCGCCCCCAGAGCAGCGCAGACTGCGCAAGAGCAAGCCTGCGGGTGCTGGCGCACCCAACCACAGGCGACGCCCCGCCCCGCTCCGCCCCGCCCCGCTCCGCCCCGCCCCGCTCCG